TATATATATATATATATATATATATATATATATGTATATATATATATGCATATATATATATATATATATGTATATAAATACATTCATGAACATATATTAAAAAAACTGTTACCCAAAATGTCTCGCATTTAAAATAACAAGTGCAAAACATTAAAGTATAGAAGTCACAAATAACTAGAAAAATGACAAATAATGGCATCAAGAACACGAGTAAACAGAAAAAAGGATTGGGGTCAAGTATGGAGCCTTGTGGGACTCCTCAGTGGTCATTTTACTTTATAACCAAAACTTTCTCTGTAGTTGCTACTTTTTCTTTTAAGTTTGATCCACTGTTAGGAGAAGCATTAATGTGTTATGTTGTGGACTGCACATTGAGAAAACAAATGCAAGTTTGTTTGTTGTTTACTGACTTGGAGTCTGCAGAGCTCCCTCCTCTCTCGGTCATTCTCCTCGGCTCTCGCTCGCAGCCACGCCTCATTCTGAGAACGATGCCTTTCCAACATCTCCTTCAACTCCTGATGCACAAACACACCCAGAGGAGAGTCCCGTTTATCGCCCGGTAAAACCCAAACAGAAAGTTTGGACAAGCTTTTCGGTGTTGGCGGACACAAAGAGAACCAAACACTCATACTCTGAAAACCTGGAGTACAAAGGGTTAGACTCCAAAGATTAGATTAGATTTACAGGTTGTTAAATTATTATTATTATTATTAGTCTGGATTTGATTAGATTATGCAAATTACATTAAATTAAAATACAAATTGTAATAAATGGGTGACATGGTGGTGCAGTTGGTGGAGCTGCCACCTTTCAGTGAGAAGGTCCCTGGTTCAAATCCCGGCCAGGGGTCCTTCTGGGTGGAATTTGCATGTTCTCTCCGTGCATGTGTGGGTTTTCTCCAGGTACTCCAGTTTCCTCCCACAGATCAAAAACATGCATGTTAGGCTGATTGGTAACTCTAAATTTTCTCTAGGTGAGAGCGAGAGTGACTGGTTGTTGTCTCATTTGTCTCTATATGTCCCTGTGATGGACTGGAGACCTATCCAGGGTGTCCCCCGCCTCTCACACAATGATAACTGGACATGGGCACCAGTGACCCCCACGACCCGAAAAGGAAGAAGCGGGTAAACCTCACACATACACCTCAGCGGTGAAGGAGGACCTCAAAGAGAGAGAGATGTTGGAGCAAAAATTCACTTAAAAATCTCCTCAGTTCTTTTATTCAATCCATTCAATGTTTTAAGCTACATTAAGCAAAGGAGTGACAGCCGGAACAAGCCAGATAAACAACATGGTGTCAGTACCCAGGATGATAACAGAGAGAAAGAGTATGTAGTTTACAGTTCGGTTAATGTGTTTTTAATAGTGTTCAGTTTTCTGATCAGTGTTTGTGTGACGTACAGTTTGTGGTGCTAAATAAATAAATAAAATTTAAACCTGATGTCTTCAGTTTCAACTTTAATAACATGTGATAGGTTATCAACAGTTTAATTTGAATTAAATAATGTCAAGATAGCTTCATTTAACTCAGGTAGCTTCATTACATCTCCCACCACTAACATAAATACTGTTTTATTATTGTTACTGTTATTATTTAGCACATTAAGTACGTTATACTCCAGCGCCACGCGCATGCATGAAATATACACCTGCCTTGACAGGCTCGTTTAATACGTAGCGATTTCAAACTCGATCCGACTGACGTCTCTTCCCAACACAGATGTTGGTCACAGCTCCTACAATCTGGCATAGATTAACTACGAGACCCAAAATATATTCCATCAGTCGTAGCTCAGAAAGCAGTATGTTATACTCCGCCGCCATTGTTGTTGATAGAAATTTGCCGCTGGTCCACGAATGCGTGAAATATATGACTGTAGTGCGAATGTGCGACTTCACAATTTTCTGTGCTTTCACACTTTAGCAGGGGCTTTTCACACATCAGCGGGGGTGGGGGGTTCACCCAAAACTTCTACTCTGAGACCTGGGTTCAAAACCTTCTGGATTTAGAGAGGGCGGGGGCTGGTGTCATGTAAACGAAAAGTCGAATCGCAAAGGATAAGCTGCAGTTTCACTCAAAATACATGTTGTGTAAACGCCCCCTGAGAGGGTGGAAGACGGACACAGAGGCCTCCGCCCTGTTTAATGATGGACAGATTCTCTTCACAAAGATGACTTCCTTTACTCCTCTCTCAAACCAACGTTCCTCCTCTAGAACATTTTACATTAAAATAAAGTAGAAATTAAATCAAACTAGATTATGTACACTAAATTGAATTAAATTAAATAAATGAGAAATTAAATCAAGCAATGAAGCAGTTTGAGTTCTGATTTAAAATCAGGTTTACATGTGAACCAGTTTGGGATCAGCACAGCAGTAAACCTGTTGTTGTTGTTGTCTTTGTGCTTCTTGAGCTTCTTTGTCTCTTTGCAGAGCCACAGCCGATTTAGAAAGCTCCATCTTCTCTCTAAAAACAAAATGATTCAGAGGTAAGATGATAAAAATAGGAAATTATCCTCATTCTATCCTCACGCACTGATCCAGTTTCTGAAACTCCTGGTCCAGTAGGCTGAAGGCCGTCTGGATCATTTTCATGGCCTGATCTCGCACTGTGCTGAAATCTCTGTGGGCAAACACCTGCAGCAGGAAATGTCAGATTATCTTCAGCTGTGTTTGAGCCTGATGCAGAGATCAAGAATGTGTTCCACCTGGATGTGAGTTGCCGTGGTCCTGGGCTGGCTAGATGGAACCGGCTCGCTCAGATCATAACGAACGTTGGGAACTTTGGTGGGGGTGAAGCTGGAAACGGTTAAAACCAGAGTGAAACCAAACGTTTTAAAACTGAGACTGAAACAGAGCATGATGGGATCCTGAAACTGCAGAAACAAAGAATCTGAACGTGAAACAGAAACAGCTTACCTGTGGCCCACACCCTGCAGACCGAACTCTGACAGAATCTCCTTCATCACTGTGAAGAAGCAATCCAGTCCAGGTCAGTTGAACAGATATGGGCTAAAATTTGGTAAACTCCAGTGAGGAAATTGTAAAATCTGACAAGTAAGTTGTAAGATCTGGTAAGGCAGTCATAAATTCCACTAGGGCAGTTCAATGATCAAGTAAGATAGCACACAATCTGGTAGGGCAGTCATTCATTCTTGTCAAGTTGTCATTTGATCCAGTAGGGCAGTCTATGGAAGTCATGATCTAGAAAGGCAGTTATATAATCTGATAAGGCAGTTATATGGTTGTATGGTTTATAGGGTTGACGTACAATCTGGTAGGGCTATTGAATGATTTGGTAAGGTTGTCATACAGTCTAGTAAGGCTGTCGTACAATTTGGTCACGCTGTTACATGATCTGATAGGACTGATCCGCACAAGGCAACCGGCCCAGACAACATCCTCGGGAAAGTGTTGAAAGAATGTGCCGATCAGCTCTGCGAGGTGCTGGCAGACATCTTTAACACCTCACTTACCCTAGAGACAGTTCCCATCTGCCTGAAGACTGCCACCATCATCCCAGTTCCAAAAAGCTCTACAGTGACCGGTCTGAATGACTATCAGCCAGTGGCCCTCACCCCGATAGTCGCTAAATGCTTTGAAAAACTGGTCATGACCCACATAAAAAAAAACAACCATCAACATCAACGAGGACCCTCATCAGTATGCATACCGTGAGAACCGCTCAACAGAGGACGCCATCTCCTCTGTGGTCCACACTGCGCTCAACCACCTGGAGCAGAAAAACTCTTACGTCCGTATGCTCTTTGTGGACTTCACGTCTGCCTTCAACACCATGATCCCCCAAACCCTGATGGACAAACTATCCACACTAGGACTAGGCCCCTCCATTTGCAACTGGGTACTAGACTTCTTAACAGACCTCAGTCTGTGAGGATCCACAACTTCTCTTCCTCCACCATAACCCTCAGCACTGGCTCTCCTAAAGGATGTGTGTTGAGCCCCCTCCTGTTTACTCTGCTCACATATGATTGTGCAGCTACCCATCCAAGCTGTCACATTGTAAAGTTTGCAGATGATACAATGGAGGTGGGATGCATTATAAACAATGATGAGTCCAGAAACAGGCAGGAGGTGGAACAGCTGGTGCAAGGAGAATAACCTTCACATCAATGTGAAGAAGACAAAGGAGATGATTGTGACTTCAGAAGGAACAAACACACCTACACCCCCTGAACATAAGAGGATCTGCGGTGGAAGTGGTCTCCAGCTACAAGTACTTGGGTGTACACCTGAACGACAACCTCAGTTGGGGCATAAACACCACCAGCATGATCAAGAAAGCTCATCAGAGATTCTACTTCCTCAGGCGTCTGAGGCGAGTTGGACTGGGAAGCTCAGTCCTCACCTCCTTCTATAGGTGTGCAGTGGAGAGCATCCTGTGCTCCAGCATCAACATGTGGCATGGAGGCTGCACAGCCGCAGAAAGAAAAGCTTTGCAGAGAGTGGTGAAGGCTGCACAGAAGATGTTGGAGTCAGTCTCCCCACCGTCACAGACATCTACACCTCTAGATGCAGGAAGAGGGCCACCTGCATCATGAAGGACCTCACTCACCCAGCACACACACTTTTTGCCCCGCTCCCCTCAGGAAGGAGGTTAAGGAGCCTTAAATGTAGAACCACTTGACTGAGGAACAGCTTCTACCCTGAAGCTGTTAGACTCATGAATCTTTAACCAGAATAATCACTGTGAAAAATCACATCATGATGCTGCTGATCTGTTTCATGATGCTGCTGATCTGTTTCATGTTGCTGCTGATCTGTTTCAATGTTGCTGCTGATCTGTTTCATGTTGATGTGTTCATGTGTGTTCATCTGCTCACACAGACTCATGCTCATGTTCGTGCTGCTGTTCAACGTAATGTTTTTATGCTATTTGTGCTTCGTGTATTTTTGGTTGATGTTTTTCTTAGTTTATATCTTAGATGTTATTACTGTTTTTCTTTTACATTTTATTGTTGGATGTAACTGGGACCCTGTGTACATAATTTCACTCCACCACATGTACCACATGTGGTGTGAATGACAATAAAGCATCTCTGACTCTGACTGCCTTAAGCTAAGGTAGGGCTGGCATATGATCCATTGGAGCTCTTGTACGGAACTGTAGGAAAGTCATACAATCTGGTAGGACAGTCAAATGCTCTGGTAAAGCATCTATACAATCTGGAAAGGCAGGCATCAGATCTGGTACAGCTGGCATACAATCCAGTTGAGCTATGATACATTTCACAAGCCTCCTTCGTAAAATTGACATGTTGAGGATTAGGGTCTGTTCGACTAGGGCTGATGTAATTGTTATCTCTGAAACTTGGTTATCCAAATCAATTTTGGATAAAGATGTGTCAGTTGAGGCCCTGTGATGGACTTGCGACCCGTCCAGGGTGTACCCCGCCCCTCGCACAGTGATTGCTGGACATGGGCACCAGCGACCCCCGTGACCCAAAAATGGAATAAACGGGTAAAGATAATGGATGGATGGATGTGTCAGTTGATGGATTTAATATCTACTGTTCTGATTGTCAAAGAAAAGGAGGTGGGGTTGCAGTCTATGTGAGAAAGCAATCTATATACAAAATTGGAGGCTGACTGGATTAACTTTTGTCAACGTCGCAATAAATGTGCCTCTAAAATTAAAGTCTACCATCTTGTGAGCAGCTGTTTTTGGTTGTCAGCAGCAAACTGGTTGATCCACTACAAGAAGGTGCTATTTATAAGACTGAGCTGAATACAGCACCTCAGACTGAAGAAGTCTTTTGTATGAAAGACAAAACGTTTTTACTTTTTTAGTTTGTTTTGTTTTTCGAATGTTCAGAGGATCAGACTTAACATTTTTAGATGTACACTGGATGATTTTGGTGTACAAGTCTCTTATTGACCTGCTTCCACATTATTAATGTACTTTTATTCAAAGAAGGGACAGTATTTATGCCTTTCGCTCTAAGGACTGTTTGCATCTTTATCTTCTTTGTGTGGACAGAAAAGGCCAAGAAAGCTTTTAGCTTTTCTGCCCCCTCAGCTTGGCATGCTTTGCAAGCTGACTTGAAAATGTCAGAACTTCTTACTTTGCTTTCCGCAAACTTTAGAAAAAACGACAAAAAGGATATCTTGTCAACAGTGCATGTGTTTCAGCTCTTAAATTCCCATTGTTTTTAATTATTATTATCACAACTATTGCCCTTTACTGTTATATTGTATGTTTTTATATATTTTTGAAATCCTATTCTGTATTTTGTTACTTGTTTGTTTTTATGACATGCACTGCTGACTTTTCTTGGCCAGGTCACCCTTGTGAAAGAGGTCTTGATCTCAATGTTTTTTCTTTTTAATCTGGTTAAATAAAGGTTTAATAATAAAAAATAAAATATGTGATCAAGCCTGGATTCTCACCTGGTATCTGCTAAAACACCCCCAAATCAGTTTGAAATCTTGGCAATAAACATTAATTTGCCTGGAGGCCAGACTTTAACTGCTATGGGCGGTTATCCCCCCCCCCCCCCCCCCCCCACACCAGTAATTTCTGATGTCCAATTGTGTTTAACAGACTTCCTAACAAATTTACATTTCAATGAAATTGCCCTTGTTGGTGACTTTAACCTATACTAGAAGTCTTTAGTACCTAGAGAGTTTTAAAAAATGTGGCTTGTCATTCAATATCACTCAAATCATTGACAACCCCACCCACCCAAACAAAAAATGCCCTGGAAGATCATTTATTTTAGATCTCTTTTTAACAAATATGCCTCATAAATTTCCTGGGTTGGGTGTTTTTGCTGATGATATGAGAGACCACTGCGTTGTCGGTGTTTTCAGGGACACTAAACTGTGTGGGGTAAAGTCGCGCTGAAAAGTGCTTTTCTGAACACTCTTAATGACAAAATTAAAGCCCAAATTGCTACTCACAAGGCACCCCATGATTTGGATAAACTAATAAGCTTCGTATGTCACGAAGCAAAAAAAGAACCGGGTAGGTAGAAGGGTCCGGTGCTAAAATATTCACAAAACTGGACCTTTGCAACACATACCACGTCATCTGGACAGTTTCTTTTTTTCTTTGTTCTTTTTTCTTTCTTTTTTCCCCAAGACTTCCCATTTCATACCTTTGACAAAACTCTCTTCAGCATCAAAAATGGCACAGATATTGGTGAAATGTTTTTTGTTGTCACGGCATCCCTCTTGACATTGTTTCTGATAGAGGCCCTCAGTTCACATCCCAAGTCTGGAAAGGTTTCTGTCAGGTGTTGGGTGCCACATCCAGTTTGATGTCTGGGTACCATTGCCAGTCTAACGGCCGAACCAAACTATGTAATCAGGAGCTGGAAGTCACATTGAGCTGTGTTACTGAGAACAACCCCACTATTTGGAGTCAACATCTTCCTTGGGTAGAGTATGCTCATAATTCACAAACCTAATCTGCCACTGGTCTTCTCTTGTTTGAAGCTTCCCTGGAGTATTCCCTATCCTTGTTTCCTACTCAAGAATCTGATATCTCTTCCCAACTGTTCAGCATCATCTTCGCCGGTGTCGTAGAATTTGGCACCTTCTCTGGACAGCAGACCAGAACAAGCAATTTGCTGATCGACACTGCTCCTCAGCACCCAAGTACCAGGTGGGTCAGAGGGTCTGGTTGTCTACCAAGGACATTAAGCTGAAGGATACCCCCAAGAAACTGCCCCCCAGATTCATTGTTCCTTTCCCCATAATCAGGGTCATAAACCCTGCAGCTTTCTGCCTCCACCTACCTACCTCGCTGAAAATCCATCCCATTTTCCGCATGTCTCAGATCAAGCCCATCTCCTCTAGACCACTTAACCTACCTGCCAATCCCCCCCACCCCCCACCCGATTGATTAATGACAACCCTGGGTACACCGTCAGACGTCTCCTAGACGTTCATCATAGGGATCGAGGCCTCCAAAACCTAGTGGACTGGGAGGGTTACGGTCCCAAGGAACATTCATGGGTTCCCCAATCTTTTATCTTGGACCCACACTCATCACTACCTTCTACAAAAATCACCCTGACAAAAGAAAATCACTAAGAAGCAGTATTTGAGAGGGGGCACTGTAGGATCCTGTTTTGCCTCCTGTAACCATCTTTTTTCACAGCACTAATCACCTGATCAGCCACACCTGCGCTTATCCTCAAACCTACACTATTTAAGCCTCGGCCAGATGTTCAGCCTACGCTGGAGCATTAATTGCCACTGGTAATTCTACTACGGCCTGAAAGCCTAAAGAAACATGACATCTTATGTCATAAGTTTGCTTCCACTAACCATCTCTTAAATCGGATGCAATGTGTTCAACAGAATGGTACTTCTTCCAGTTATTTAATGGTTAACAATGATGTACCACAAGGCTCAGTCTTAGGACCCACTCTCTTCACAATCTACATAGGTAATGTAGGTCAGACTATCCCTGATGCATCCTTACATTTACATGCTGATGATATAGTTGTTTATTGTCAAGCTAAAGCACTTGATAAGGCTTTCCAGCTTTTGAAATCTGCCTTTGACATCATCCAGTCAGATTTGTTCTGTCTCAAACTTGTCCTAAACGCCGACAAAACCAAAGGAATGTTGTTTTCAAACAGGAAGTCGGTCCCAGCAATTCTTCCTTCGATTTTATCCTGAAATGGTGTCCGTATTGAGTTTGTTGATTCCTATAAATATTTGGGTATCTTGGTCAATTTGCATCTCTCTTTTAAGTTCCACTGGATTTCTTTTTCAGAAACAGATCCTGTCTAACTCTGAATGCTAGGAAACGCCTTGTAACTGCGACTTTCCTTCCCTCCACTGACTACGGTGACAATATTTACATGAACGCCCCTACAAGAACCTTGCAGATGCTGGACACTTCCTATCATGGTGCGCTAAGATTCATAACTGGCTGTAACTACTGTACCCACCAGTGCACCCTTTATTCATTGGTTGACTGGTCATCATTAACTTCACGTAGACTCTCTCACTGGTAAATTTTCATCTTTAAATCACTTCTTGGTCTGTTGCCTTCATACATCTCCTCCTACATGTCACTGCATGAGTGCAACTACAGCATGTGCTCTCAGGACACTATTACATGCAGTGTTCCCTCAGTGCGGACCGAACTACTGTAGGCAAAAGGACCGTCTCCTACTCCGCTCCTGTATCTTGGAATATCTTGCAAAATACTCTGAAGCTCCTGACCTTGACCTTTCTAAGTGGCTTCAAACATTTGCTAAGTTCATGGCAAAAACCAATGCAGACATTCTCCTGCTTTTAATATTCTGCATCGCTTTACAGTCTAGCTGTTTTTGTTTTGTTTTTTTAATGCCATTTTCTTTCATTTGTTCTCAATTTGTATGCTTTCTTTTATGATTGTCTACTGTAGTCTTTTAGTACTGTTGTCATCATTCTTTGGTAAAATCAGGTATCTTTAGTAAATGAGTCCCTGAGGCTCAATGGGACTAACCTGTATAAGTAAAGGTTGAATGAATGAATGCATGGTACTAGCAGTCCTTCCTTCTATTTTATCTTCAAATGGTGTCCCTATTGAGTTTGTAGATTCTTATAAATACTTGGTTATCTTGGTCAACTTGCATCTCTCTTTTAAGCCTCATGTCGAAAACTTGGTAAAGAAACTGAAAGTAAAACTGGGTTTCTTTTTTAGAAATAGATCCTGTCTAACTCTGAATGCTAGGAAGCACCTTGTAACTGTTACTTTCCTTCTCTGCATTGACTATGGTGGCATTACACGAATGCTCCTGCAAGCACCTTGTAGATGTTGGACGCTGTCTATCACGGTGCGCTAAAATTCATAACTGGCACCCTATATTCACTGGTTAACTGGTCATCATTAACTTCATGCAGACTCTCTCACTGGTATATTTTCATCTTTAAATCATCTCTTGATCTGCTGCCTTCATACATCTCCTCCTATATGTCACTGCATGAGTGCTGCTACAGCGTGTGCTCTCAGGACATAATTACTTGCAGTGGCCCCTCAGTGCAGACCAAACTTGGCTAAAGGTCCTAGTCTTACTCTGCTCCTGTAAACTGGCACACCCTGCAAAAAGGTCTGAAGCTCTCGACCTTGACCTCTCCAAGGGATTTTAAACAACTGTTAAGTTCATGGCAAAAAAAACAATGTAGATATGTTCCTGTTTTTAGTACATTACATCGCTTTATAATGTATGTGCTTTTTAATTTTTTTTATATAATTTCATATATATTACTTCTATTTACTTTTCATTTGATATGCTTTTTATATGAATGTCTATTGTCTGTACCTCATCTGTGCTCTTTGTCTAAAACAGGTCTCTTTTGTAAATGAGTCCTCGTGACTCACTGAGACCAACCTGTATAAATAAAGGTTGAATGAATGAATTAAAAAAAAAGGCACCAGAAATACACAGAAAGTTTCCGTCTAGTGTTTGGTTTGTAGCAATAATAACATCAAGACTTTTAAACCAAAACTTGAACAAACATGTGGCCTGAGGAACTTCAGGACTAAAAGAGTTTTAGAACTAGGCGTAATATTGGAACCCATGTGTAGCTCATTGGGTTTGAGTTCTATCAGCACGAAAAGAACAGCTAAATCACAGAATTTACCTGGTTGTCTCTCCGAGGGGTTAATGAGTTTCATCACCTTGAGGTCATTAAAATCATGCTCTTCATTCTTCCCTCCAAACACATACAGCTGTAAAAACATGTTGTTTAGTACAATAATCAGAATAATCAATGGTAAATATTGATGTTGCTGACATGGCTGTGCAGGATAAAGGCGGCGTGGCTGTGCCGACGACCTGGAGGAATCCCAACATACAGAGGAACCTTCCACTTCATCTTTGCTGAAGAGAAACAACATAAATCAAACTGATTTTACTCTGTTGTGACGTAAACGTTAGATCAGAAATTACAGTTTTACAGATTTTTATTTCTCCCTACATTTTGTACGATCTACTTTTGCTCCATATTTTGTTAGAAAAACATGGAGATCTCTTCAATTCCTTCAAAAGTGAGGGTTAGTTCTTTTTATAATCAGCTAAAGCACACTCTGTTTCGTCTGGTGCTACTTTTAGCATTTATCTAACCTTTGTTGCTTTTAATAAAGCCTTTTGCTACTTTAGATTTTAGTTACCTTTTGTGAATTTTAACTAGTCTTTAGCTATTTCAATCTTTTAGTCAAGTCTATTGCTCATTTTAGCCTCCAGTTAGCCTTTTGATACTTTTGGTTGGCTATTTGCTTCTTTAGCTTTTAGCCAGTCTTGCACTACTTTGGCTATTTTAGCTTTTATCTAGCCTTTTGCTACTTTAAGCTTGTAGTCAGCCTTTTGCATATATTAGCTTCTGGATAACCTTTTGATATTTTCAGATATCCTTTAGCTACCTTAGCTTTTATCTACTTTTTGTCTACATTAGCTTTAATCTAATCTTGTGTTACTTTTAGATAGTCTTTTAGTAGTTAGAAAGCCAATTAGTAGTTCTCCTTAGAGAACTACTAATTGGCTTTTATGTATGTGAATGTTTCTGTAAAGTGGGCAGCACGGTGTCGCAACTGGTAGAGCTGCTGCTTCTCAGCGAGCAGGTCCTTGGTTCAAACCCCGGTCCAGGGGCCCTTCTGGGTGGAGTTTGCATGTTCTCTCCGTGCATGCGTGGGTTTTCTCCAGGTGCTCCGGTTTCCTCCCACAGACCAAAAACATGCATGTTAGACTGATTGATAACTCTAAATTGCCCCTAGGTGTGAATGAGAGAGTGAATGGTTGTTTGTCTCGTTTGTCTCTATGTGGCCCTGTGATGGACTTGCGACCCGTCCAGGGTGTACCCCGCCCCTCACACAGTGATTGCTGGACATGGGCACCAGCGACCCCCGTGACCCAAAAATGGAATAAGCGGGTAAAGATAATGGATGGATGGATGTTTCTGTAAAGTGCCCTGAGACAACTTTGTTGTGATTTGGCGCTATATAAATAAACTGAATTGAATTGAATCTTTTGTTTATTTTAGCAAACTTTTTGCTATTTTAGTTAGTCCTTTGCTATTATTAGCTATTAGTGAACTTTTGCACATATAAGCTTCTGCATAATCATTTCGTACTTTTAGCTACCTTTTAGCTACCTTAGCCTGTATCTAACTTTTGACTATGGTCATTTTTAATTTAACTTTAGCTGCTTTAAATTTGGGTTTTGCTACCTTTAGCTTTTAACTAGTAGATTTCAGCTACTTCAGCAGATTTCAGCAGTCATTTAGCTTTTCTCTGACATACCGATACTAAGTTTATGGATTTCATTGGACAATATTTCTGAGCCGTCATCATTTGTGATTTTGCCACCAAACATGTAGATGTCCTTTAAGAAAATAAGACAGAAACAAAATCAGTTAAAAAACACACAAATAACATTTGACTTTTATTTAAATCCTTGCAATCATCCCTCCTGCAGAGTTGGTTTATTAAGAAACAAACGCTTACAAGAAAACTGGGCAGGAAGTACACTGAACCAACAGGACCAATAAAAAAAAATTGGGATCAAGTTTTTTAAATGACACCAGTGACAAAAGTGGCTGAAACTGCCTCATCTATGTGAACATAATGAAGCATTCTTTATGAAAGGACAGAAGGAAAATCCATCCCATAATTATTTTTCAGTGGTGCTTGTTCATATTGACTGATTAGGAATCATCTAAATAAATTCAATTCGATGACTCATTCAGTCTCATTATTCTGGATTTTTTCTCTTTTTCCTGAAGTATCGACTCCTAGAATAAAGTAATTATTTCTTTCTTTCAGTTAGGATTTTTGATTAGCTCCTCCAACATTTTTGGCAGTTTTTTTATCGTACAAAGTAAATTAATTTTGCAAAAATCCTCTAAAAGTTTCAGTCAGGTCTCGGGGGCAGCATCAGATCAGGGAGGTCCAGACCTCTCTCGCCACTTCCAGCTCTTCTGGGAGGACTCCAAGGTGTTCCCAGACCAGCTGAGAGACGTAGTCTCTCCAGTAAATGGTAAATGAACTGTACTTATATAGCGCCTTTCTATCTGATCAAGATACTCAAAGCGCTTTACACTACAATCTGTGTCCTCATTTACCCAGTGTGTCTTAGGTTGTCCCTGGGGTCTCGTCCCAGTTAGACATGTCTAGAACACTTCCCTATGGAGGCAACCAGGATCCATCCTTACCTGATATCTGAACCTCCTCAGCTGTCTCCTCTGGATGTGGAGGAGCAGTGGTTCTACTCTGAGTTTCTCCCAGAAAATGGAACTTCTCATGCTATCTCTAAGGGAGAGTCCAGCTACCCTGCAGAGAAAACTCATTTAGACCTCCTGGATCCAGGATCTGGTTCTTTCAGTCTCTACCCAGAGTTCATGATCACAAGTGATGGTAGGAACATATACCAAGCAGTAAACAGAAAGCTTCTCCTTGCAGCTCAGCTCCCTCTTCATCACAACGGACCGGCATAGAGATTAATACTGTAGAAGCTGCACTGATCTGTCTGTCAATTTCACGCTCCTTTCTTCCCTCACTGTGATCAAAACCAGAGATACTTGAACTCCACTGGAGGCAGAACCTCCATCCCAACCCAGAGGGCAGTCCCCCCTCTGACTAGGACCATGGCCTCAGATTTGGAGGTTCTGATCCTAATCCTAGCTGTGAATTGCTCCAGTGAGAGCTGGAGATCACGGCACAATGACACCAACAGGACCACATCATCTGCAAACAACAGAACCAGATTCCCTCCGCTCCCCTGTTGCACTGAGAAATTTTATCCTAAAAGTTATGAATAGAACCAGTGAAAATGAGCAGAGGAGTCCAACCCCCACCCTGAATGGGTCTGACAGGGACTGAATTTCCATAACAACGGACTTCCAATACCATATTCAAGGAGCACCACCCAGACGGTACTAAAGACACAAATAACAGAGGAAGTAAAAAAAAACAAACAAGGAACCTAAAAAGTAAGTTGCACCTTGTCGTGATGAGCAGTCAGTGTTTGTCCACTGCAGGCAGCTGGAGATTCTCCTTTCAGCTCACATTTCTGCCACAGTAGACTCTCTGAAAATCACAAGTCTGTTCGTTATTTTATTGTTTTAATTTAGTTTTTAATGAGCTCCGATCCCTCGCACAGAACCCTGTCAAGAACCTTTTACATCAATAGCTGCTAAAACCACACGGACTAGAGTTATGTTGGGGAACCTTTGTCAGATTCTACAGTCCAGAGTTCTGTTCAGCAATGCCTGTCATGTTCAGAGGCCGTATCATCTTCTCTATAGGCTTCATTTGGGACGGCATTAAACTGTTCTTTTGTTGTGGTGTCAAAACACTAAAACCAGTCTTTTTTGTGACATCAAAAACAAAAAACAGGCTTTTTTTGGTGACATTGAATCACTAAAACCAGGCATTTCGGTGACATCATTGTGAGGATCTGTGTGTTTTGTGTCTTGTGATCCTTTAGTTTTCCTGTTCTTCCTCGTTTTGCCAACTCCTGCTGCACCTACCCCTCACTGTCCACAGGGGACTTACGCCCGTTGCAGCCCTCCTGGTCTCTACGCCTGCTGCATCCCCTGTGGTCTCCATGCCTGCTACAGACTCATCGTTCTCACCACCTGCTACAGATGCCTTGGTCTCTTCGCCTGCTGCAGATCCCCTGGTCTCCTTGCCAGCTGCAGATCTCCTGGTCTCTTCGCCTGCTGCAGATGCCCTGGTCTCCTCGCCTGCTGCAGAGCTCCTGGTCTCCTCACTTTCTACAGATCCCCTGGTCTCTTTGCCTGCTGCAGCAAAACAGCAGGCGAAGAGACCAGGGGATTTATCTTCCTTAGATAGAGAACTTTACTAATTTGGCTTTTATATATGTGAATGTTTCTGTAAAGTGCCTTGAGACAACTTTGTTGTGAATTGGTGCTATAAATAAAGTGAATTGAATTGCTGCAGATCTGTTGCTCGTCTGATCCTAGTGCAATCCCCTTGTCGGAATTATTGCCTCTGTGGCTCTCTTTCCTGGTTTGTCATCTGTGGCTCTCATCCCTGGTTCGCCATCTGAGGCTCTCATCCCTGGATCGCAGTCTGAGGTTTGCTGTCTGAGGCTCTCATCCCTGGTTCACCATCTGTGGCTCTCTTCATTGGTTCGCCGTCTGCTGGTTTGCCATCTGCTGCTTTTTTCTCTGGTTTGCCTGCCGCTGCAGCCTCCCCAGTGGTCTCTCCATCTGCTGCCGCAGCCTCTCCAGTGGTCTCTTCACCTCTCATTGGCCTGAGTCGGTGGAGGACAACTCTTGCCCAGTGATGGACAATCTCCAGGCCACCCTCCAGAGCTCCTGCCTCACTCTGGATGGTCTCTGGGCCGTCTTCCTGAACTCTTGTCTCTCTCCAGACAGTCTCCTCGTCATCCATCTGAACTCGTATCTCGTGCTGGATGGTCTCCTGGCCGCCCACCTGAACTCTTGGACTTTTTGTATGCTATGAGTTGCCCAGGTCATTTCCTATTGGTTTTTCTTTTTCCCTTGTGTTTTCCTTGTGCCCTCCATCCTGTTTTGCCCCCTCCTCCTACCCAAGTTAAAATGATTTTGGGGATATTAAGGGCCATCCTTAGAGGGGGGTTACTGTGAGGAGCTGTGTGTTTTGTATCTTGTGATCCTTTTATTTTCCTGCTCTCCCTTGTGTTGCCAACTCCTGCTGCACCTGTCCCCCATTGTCCTCTCCCAGGTGTTTGTAATATTTCCTTCTTAACGTCTCTTTATATTATGTGTTTCCTTGTTGTTCCCCTGTCTGCGTATTATCTCATGTATGGCGTCATGTTTCTATCTCCCTCTGTGCCTTTTCAATGTTAATGTAAGTTTTTCTGCTACGTCAGCTTTTGTTTTCATTTAATAAATATTCTTATTTTCCCTTCAAGTTCCTTGTGTCTGCCGGCACTTTGGGTTCAACACAGCCATTGGCGTCAAAAGTATTTGTAATGTGTGTGTGTGAGGGGACACTGGTAGTGTGTTTTGTGTGTGTGTGTGTGTGGGGGGGAGGGGGGGGTTGTGCTCACTCAGACAATTTTGAATAAAGTAGATGCCATTTCCTGCATTCTGGTGTACGTATTTTAACATCTGCGGTAAAGCCTTCCATTCGGAAACCTTACTGTCACTCAAATATAGAGTGCTCAATTACAACAACCTTCACATCTGGGCTGTATACAGTTGTGTATAGCATCTGTTTATATGTGAATAACGTAGAAAATAGCAACATTTCACCTAGATTTCCTTACTTTAATTCCACACATTTAAAGTATGTTTCTCACCAAGTTTGTGGAAATTCAGCTGTGGGGTTTAAAGACATTACAACTTTAATGTACTTACACACAGTGTCAGGTTGGAACTTTTGTGTTTAAAACTAAAAAAACAACATTACCACTAAACTTTTTTACTTATGTTCAACATTACTCATATAAAGAGTGTTTTTCACCAAGCTTGAGGACAATAAGTTGTGGGGTTTTAAAGAAATTTCAACTTTATTGCACCGTAACATATTGCGTCTTATACTTACTGTGTCTTACAGCGTAGCACAGAGCAGAATCATGATAGTAACAGCACTAAAACCAGGCTTTTTGGATGATCTTGAACCAGTAGAAACAGCCTTTTTGGGTGACATAATAGCAACTATACCCAGCCTTTCACAATTAATTAAATGAGTGTTTACCTGTATTAAGAACATAAAGGTCTTTACAGAATTCTCCTCCTGCTCCAAAACCTCCAAACATGAAGATCTGATTCCCGCATAGAGCAAAACTCTGAGACTCCAGGGCCGGAGGAGGGGATCCACTGGTTTTAACCGGAGTCCAGATGAGAGACACTGAAACAGAGCAGAGTCAGAATCCTGATCTGAGTCTGGAATCTGGATCATCCTCATATTTTTAGCACCAGTGTTGAAGACCATGAGGTTGTCAGTTGGAATCTGGTTCAGTACGCCTCCGTACACGTAGATGTTGTCTCCCATGGCGACAGAGCTGTACCTGAGAGTCCGGAGGGCCACGCCACCAGTCTCTAAGCATTCCCAGGTCAGAGACACTGTTAGAGACACAGAAGACCATTTTTGACCCGTTAACAGGGTGAAGGATCGATTCTTCTATTCCTTAAATGTCACAAACTCACCAACATCAAAGCTGTAGACTCGTGGGAGGCACTCAGTGGCATCTGGACTGGAGGCTCCTCCGAAAAGGTACAACTTCCCCTTAACAACACTGAGGAGGAACGATAAGTCAAAACCTTATGACTCTGTCTGCTGAAGAAAAAATAATGATCCAGGCCTCAGAGAGTCTTGATCCAGTGAAAGTCCTGATGAAAGGCTCAGGACGTCCTGATGCATGCCTCAAAAGTCCTGATCCAGGCCTCAGAGAGTCCTGATCCAGGCCTCAGGCCGTGTTTTATTCTCAATTTATAAAGAATTGACTAATGGATTTTGTTCATCTGGTGTGTTTTAGATCGTCTTTTATCTTTTGCTTGTTCAGTTTAACTTTAGTTATTGCCCACCACCGAAGGCAATACTGTTTCTGTCCATGTGTTTGTCTGTTAGCAAAATATTTTGTGAACCACAGGATGGATTTGAATGGAACTCTCAGAAGGTAAGGATGTAAAGTTGATTAACTTTAGGAGCCAATAAGATGCAAGATGGTTGCCACAGATAGTCCACTTTAGCCAACAGAAAAATGGTGATAACTCAGTGAATCTTACAGAGACTAAGGTGATGATGTGGTAGTAGCTGAGAGTCATCTCCAACAAACATTCTGAGCCACAACAGTTCATGAGATCTTATTTGGGACCATACAATATACATACAGCCTGAATACACATAAGGCTGCAGGCCCAGACCTTGTGTCACCCTCCACGCTGAGACATTGTGCTGGAGAGTTGGCTTCGGTCTTCACAGGGATCTTCAACTCTTCTCTGGAGTCATGCCACATCCCAGCCTGTTTCAAGTCCTCTATCATCGTCCCTGTCCCCAAGAAGCCACGTGTCACAGGACCAAATGACTACAGACCTGTAGCTCTCACGTCTGTAGTCATGAAAACCTTTGAACGCTTACCATACCATACCAATTTATTTATACAGCACTTAAAACAGCAACAAGGCCAACCAAAGTGCTGTACAAAAGAAAACAAACATGCACAGCGGACAGGAAAACATAAAATAGAAATACAGATACAAATAGCAGCAGAAGCTAACTAAAATGGCCAACAGTGTAGAGTACAGACAAGACCAAACAAATCACACCGTGTTAAAGGCAAGAGAATAGAAGTGGGTCTTCAAGCGAGACTTAAAGACTGAGAGTGTGGGAGCCTGCTGGACACTCAGTGGCAACTCATTCCACAGTCGTGGACCTGCAACAGAGAAAGCCCTGTCACCTCTGAGCTTACGACGGGTTTCTGGGACTGAGAGAAGCATCTGGTCTGCTGACCTCAGAGAGCGCGGTGGGACATATGGCTGCAGAAGATCAGTGAGATAGGATGGGGCGGAACTGTTCAGTGATTTAAAAACGTACATGAGAATTTTGAATTGGATCCGAAGGTGAATGGGTAGCCAGTGCAGGGAGGCCAAAACTGGCGTGATGTGCTCTCTATAGCCTGTCCCAGTTAAAAATCGGGCTGCAGCATTTTGGACAAGTTGTGGACGAGCAATGGAGGACTGACTGATTCCAAACAGAAGTGAATTGCAGTAATCAAGCCTAGATGTTATGAAGGCGTGGATCACTGTCTCAAGGTTCTTTTTGGGGAGTATAGGCTTCAGCTTAGACAGCCGTCTCAGCTGAATAAAACAGGATTTGACCATCATGTTTACGTGACTGTTGAGTTTTAAGGACGGGTCCATTATCACCCCCAGATTAGTGACCTTTTGTTTCTCTAGCGGGGCTAGAGAGAAAAGGTCAATGTCATGGTTCATGAGTGAGCCACTGGGATGGAACAGCATGACTTCAGACTTCTTCTCATTGAAGCTTAAGAAGTTTAAAGCCATCCAGTCCCGGATGTCAGCCAGGCAGTCAAGAAGAGGCTGAATAGAGCGTGTGCCTCTGTGCCTCAGGGGGAAGTAAATTTGGCAATCATCGGCGTAGAAATGAAAGGGTATGTTGTGTTTGCGGAAGATAGCACCTAGTGGCAGCAGGTATAAAGAAAAGAGAAGGGGACCGAGGATGGACCCCTGTGGTACCCCCCACTGGAGCGCTGTCGATGCCGAACTAAAATCTTTGATATTGACACAGAAGGTTCTGTCAGAGAGGTAGGACCCAAACCATTTAAGGGCTGACCCTGTGATGCCCACCCACTGCTCCATTCTAGAAATGAGGATGTTGTGGTCGATGGTGTCAAAAGCAGATGTAAGGTCCAATAGGACAAGCAGCACAGAATCACCTGCGTCTGTGGATATGAAAATGTCATTAAAAACCTTCAGTAGAGCAGTTTCAGTGCTATGGAGAGATTTGAAGCCAGATTGGAATAACTCTAGGATAGCGTGATCCCCCAAAAACTGTTTCAACTGAGACTCCACAATTTTTTCCAGTAGTTTAGAGGTGAATGGGAGTCTGGAGACAGGCCGGAAGTTGGACATGACTGAGGGGTCAAGGTTAGGTTTTTTCAGGAGGGGCTCGACAGCAGCATGTTTAAAAGTTTTTGGCACCACACCTGAGGATAAACTGCTATTCAGAATAGCGAGAATAAAAAGACCCAGGGTAGGAAAAACTTCCTTTAGTAGTTGAGGGGGGACCACATCAAAGGGGGAACCAGATGGCTTCATGCTGCACATTACCTGCTCCAGAGAGGACAGAGAGATGGGCTCAAAGTGGTCAAACACAGCCACACACTGAGATGGGATGGATAGATCATATATATATTTATTGGGTTTTCAAAATACAGTATACATAAATCATACACAAGAGTATGAAGCATATACATATTTAACAAATTACTGTATAAGGAGAAAAATAAAAAATAAAATACTCTTACCAATATGACAATGAAAATAAAAACACACAAAAAAAAATAAATAAATAAAAAAAAAAAAATATATATATATATATATATACATATAAAAAATAGAATGAAATCGAAACAAGTCAGGGCAATTATCTAATTAACTGGCTACACTGCACTGGTTACCATTTACACTTTATGATGGTACTACCTGTCTAACAAGGCACAGGTGGCAAACTAAGAGACTGTATGGGCTTTGGGATCAGTCTCAGACTGAGAAAGATGGTCCAAAAACGGCTGCCAGATACTACAGAACTTATTAGTGGAGCCCACAACATCATACCGCAGTTTCTCCAAGTGGAGAATCTCAGTAAAATCACTCAACCACATTTTAAACTGAGGAGCCTTGTCAGATTTCCACAATCTTAATATTACTTTCTTAGCCGTTACCATTCCATACATCAGAGTCGTTTGCATAGAAATGCTGCGGTTCCTAAGTAAGGGAGAATATCCAAACAATGCAATCTGGGGGTCTGGATCCAGTATGCACTTATATACTTTAGAAAACAATTTGAAAATGTCACACCAATATTGAAAGAGCTTGGGGCATGACCAGAACAGATGTGACAGGGAGCCATCAGCGGACCTACATTTATCACATTTTGGAGATATTGAGGGGAATATTCTGTGTAATTTCATTTTAGAATAGTGGAGTCTATGAATCACCTTGAATTGAATTAACTGGTGCCTTACATTAATAGAACATGACCGGATCCTCCCAAGACCCTCCTCCCAGGCCTCACTCCCAATCTGTAAACCCAGCTCCTCCTCCCATGCAGCCATCAAGGAGCCCGTGACAAAATTAATTCGCTCTATAAAGATGTCAACGAAGCTCGAAATTATTTTTTTTGATTCTGGAGAGCCCAACAGCATTTTGTATATCTTATTTTCTTCTGGTCGGGATACAAAATTCGGGATGTTAATGCGAACATAATTTCTGATTTGCAAATATCTGAAAAAATCTGCATCCGGAAGAGAGAAACCGTCCTTCAACATTGCAAAAGAAGCAAACTTTTTGTTAATATACAAATCTTTCAGTGTAGTTAGGCCTTTTAGTCTCCAATTTTTAAATGACTTATCGGATAATGATGGGGGAAAAGCATGGTTATGGTAAATTGGAGCATGAACTGAGGTCTCGGGCAGGCTACAATAAACCTTAATTTGTTTCCATATTTTCAAACAATTCAAAACAATCAAATTATTTATTCCACTATTTGTAGGAGATATTGGTGCTGAGAAAAGAAGTGCCGGAAGAGAACTGTTTATGACACTACTTCTTTCAATAGCCACCCAGGGGGGAGAATTTGTAGACAGTTCTTGAGCATCACCTTCCTGCCAGTATACCAAGGCCCTTGCATTCGCTGCCCAATAATAATGCTGAAAGCAGGGTAATCCTAACCCCCCCATCTCTCTTGGTTTATGTAAGTGAGTTTTTGATATTCTATGGGCTTTAAAGCCCCAGACAAAAGGCAAAATTATTGAGTCCAATGATTTAATGATGGATAGATCATGAGTTGGTGGAGAAATGAGTGCCCGGGTGTTTGCCACTTTTTCTAAAAAGAAATGGAGGAAGTTTTCACACAGCTCAGTTGAGGCTTCCAGAGGTGAAGGCTCACTGAGGTGTAGAACTGTGTTCAGGGTGGAGAAAAGAACTCGGGGGTTGTGGGAGTTGGAGACAATTAAATCAGAGAAGAATTTACATTTGGCAGCTTTAACGGTTTTCTGATAGTGACGCCAACTCTCCCTTAACATTTGAAAAGAAACCTGCAGCCTGTCCTTCCTCCACCTTCGTTCAGCTCTGCGACACTGCTGCCTAACGGCTCGAGTGACGTCATTCAGCCAAGGCTCAGATCTAAGTTTCGTTTTTCTGGTTTTAAGGGGAGCAACACGGTCCAGAACATTTAAACAGGCAAAGTTGAACTGAGAGGTTAGCTCCTCAGTGGTAGGAGACACCGGGAACTGTTCGATCCTCTCAGAATTAAAACCTTCATTAAAACGAGCAGCAGTGAAACGGTTAATGGAACGCGTACGTGCAGGAACGCACGTCTTAGCAGTAGTAAAAAGAGGGGGGGGTGAAGCTTGGTTTCATCTCACCTCAAGTCCATCACCAACCCCCTCCTGGACCCCCTGCAGTTTGCCTACAGGGCCAACAGGTCTGTAGATGACGCAATAAACCTGGCTCTTCACTTCATCCTGCAGCACCTGGACTCCCCAGGAACCTA